AACGCCCTCCCCTCCCTGCTGCCCACCGTTCCGACGAAAACCTAAAGCTTGTCGTAATTTCGCAGCATATTTTGAAATAACTAGTGAGTACAGTGAAACCTCTATTAAGCGAACCCCCAGTTAAGAGGACACTTACTTGGTCCCGAAATTAACGTGTTATATTTCCCTCTATTACGAACCCCTGTTCAGCGGACACCTCTATTAAGCGGACGCGGACACTAAAATAAATTGTATTTGGCGAATTTCTACTGTTGAAACCATTATTAAGCGGAAACCGTACTGAATTGACAATGTGGCATTAGATTACGTCCTTGAAATAGTCGATTAAATATACCCGTTTTATCGTTGCTGTTTGGAAAGGGCATTATTACAAACAAATTAAAGTTGGTAATGAAAGCTGATGAACTTGAACTCTGGATAGCTTTGTAAACAACCTGGAACTTAATTAAAGTACAGGGGGACCGTTGAATGTTAATTGCTAACAAACATTGCGCAATTGTTATAAACCTTTATTAAGCGGACACCCTCTATTAAGCGGACACTTGGGAAGAGGTTTCATTGTTTTTTAAAAGTGAGCCTCGCCACAGATCATAACTATCAATACCTACCTGATTTGTGTCTGAAGATGAATTGGATTTATTGCAATTTGCAGAAGAAATATTTCCTTCAATTTTGTTCATCTGAAATAAACCATGTCTTTTTAGTTTTTCCAAGAATTATACATAGGATATAAAAACGTAAAAAAAAGCTAAATTTAAGTAATGATACTTATGTATGCTGTAAAAATACTGTGAAAACACGTTTTGCAAATTAAATGAAACGGTGAAAGGAAAGTCAATCTTTGATTTGCTCTACTGAAATCCGATCCAAGCTTTTGGGAAGATTTGACGAGTGAGCAGACTCTTCATGTTAAATTTTGGAACGATGTGGATCAACCCCAGCCTCTGTCATGTTTGTGGCAAAAACAAAAAGCTTTTTTTTCTGTTTAATCATGGTTTACGTACGCAGCACACTATGCAGATGGAAGTGTCACATCTTACTAATATACTCACTCTGATTCTGAGATTCTCCAGCTCTGCTAACACCTGCAAGAAATGAGAAATTATAATAATAATAAAATTAAAAAAAGACCAACGATTAAGTGTGACAAAAATAAATAAGCTGTTACTTTTTCCACTGGACCAAAATTATTTGAATATACACAGCGATCATTAAATTCCTCTTAACCTCAGCTTTTTAGCAAAGATTATGATCAATTTTTGTGTTATTTTTAATTATTTCCTGTATTAAGTGGTGCCAATCATCTGCCAGCAGCTTAACCGAACGGTTATTTAACTGTCGAACAAAATCAAATCTTGTTGTTTTTAACCCTAACCCTAATCCTAACTCGGTCTTTAACCGCATGTAAGCATAGATAAATAAATCACAATCATCGATTATCTAACTCTAGCCCTAACCCTAACCCTAAGAGATCAAATTTTCCCGTAAAGCTATGCTTCACCCTGTAAGAGAAAAGACGTATTTGCCAATATCATCCTACCAAAGATTGGATGTCCTTGATTTCCCTCAGTTCGGATGCCAGGTCTGAATTGTTTTCTTTCATTACCTTCAGCTCGGACGCCAGGTTTGCCCCTAAGACTTATAAAAGAAGCGAAGAAAATTTTGAACATTAAAAGAAGTAAGCATAGAAATAAGCAAATGGGTGAACAAACAGATAGATAGCGAAAATTATCGTGTGAACGTGATATTGGCTATGTTGTGTGGCGGATCTGGCAGAATATAGAACCTATGAGCCAAACATGTATATTCCTCCCCCATTATTTCAAGAAAATAATGACAGTTCTTTACTATTATTAGGTAAGTAGTATAGTTTGAATTTTCTTTTTTCTGGATGTATATTCCACATGTCATACACCGTACTGTAAGATCTCGCTTTTAGCATTTTTATATTACTTCTGTTTCGTTCAAATTAAAATTCATCTTTTTCTGAATTTAATTTTTTGTGTGTGTGTGTATCTTTTCCCAGGAACTATCATCTGCTAAAAGAGATTACACAAAACTTCGACCTATTTTAAATTACTAATGTAATTTTGACATCGATTCGATCTGATTAAAGGAAGACTGGTTCAAGATGCTTGGTATGGTCCAGAAAAAAACTATCAAGACATTTTTATAAAATATAATTTACTTTTTTCTTATCGGCATTTTCTTCACGTCAACGTGGTGACTGCTAAAGCTCATTAATTGATGCAAGAAAAAGGCTGTCTTCAGTGTTCCTCAATTTTAATTACCTACGGAGCATGTCACTCATCTTGACCATTATTAATAAAGGGAAATGGTTATAAAACCTGGAGAAGTTCTTCGTTGCATGTTTCTTTTTAGCTATTTTAGGGGTTGCTCCTGAACTAAAACTGGTAAAATACAAAAGGTGAGTATGTATGCTCAGTCAACTAACCAATAGAAGCATTACGAATTTTTGTCTACAACCATAAAACAAAAGATGTGCAGGGTCAGGGTCAGGTACCTTCCAACATAAATCTTAGCCTAATAAGAAATAACACGCAAACTGCGGCACATGCGGTTTATTGCCATGTTTATCACCGCAGTTTGCGTGTTATTTCTTATTAAGCTGCGATGGCCAAAGAAAAAGAGTATTTACGACAATCTTAGCCTGTTTGTTTTCTTCTTTGATGTTTACCAGGCTTCTTAATCATTCCCTCTATTTACTATGTCTCGAGATTTGATACTTTAGCGCAATTTGGTTTGCAAATATGAAACCTCCCCCATAGCCTGCGTAAAGCGTTCCCTAGAATTGTCTTAATATTGCGACTAAATTATTTTAATCACAGCGGTTAGGAGTGAGTTGGCCGATCATCAAGTAAAATTTGCATAAATAAGATATGTTGGTTAATGCATTTTCTCAGTATTCGTGATTTCACTCACCATACATATTAGTTGAATCTTTTGAAGCAGTTGAGTTGTTTCGAGACAGCATCATTGTTAAAGCTAAAACCAAAGTGGCAACAGCAGTCAGGAAAGCAACAGCAACGACAGCGGCTGCAACAAACAGCATTGGACGGAATGCCACTGTATCCCTTTCTTTGAGTGGTTGTCCTTTCTTCTTTGCCTCCAGCGCAGACGTCTCAATGCTCGCTCGTTTTGTCGCCGGGATTTTGCTTTTGCTATTTCCTTCATCGTAGGTTCTGGCCTCAGTTCCCTTTTTGGATTCCATCTCGAAATAAATGTTGTCTGTTCCGACTTCTACCTTATCCATCGTTGAATGGTACGGGATGTTCCTCCGCTTCGACGGTAATGGTGTAACTAAATCTCCAAACCTATGTCCCAAAAGCAAAGTATCCCCGAAAATTTTTAATTCCGTCATGTGACGAGCCTCTGTGACATTTGTCTTTAGTATTTGCATTCCAGATCGGAACAAGTAGAAACGCGTTACTTTTAGGAATTTCCCCGAAGCAATTGTCTGGAGACAATCATCAAAGACGTTTTGTAGCAAACAAAGATTATATGAATTCCAGTTCGAAACCAGACGGTCATTAGTCCCATAGAACTTCTTTTTTTAAATTTTAGTTCACCTGTTATTCGAATGACATGCGCTGATAGCCGTTCACTCTATATGCCAGCATAGTGTACATCAATCAACTCAGCGGCCTTCACATCTTCAACGTTTTGATTGGTCTCCTGGCGTAGGATATTTATCACTGTCGGCACAGTTTCTCAGCCAAGAGATTAATAGAAACCGGAATCCTTGTGAAAGCTTTCTGAGATAAATTCATTAAGAGAAAAAGTCTAATAAAAGTTGTAAATTATGGGCGTTCTTGTGTTTCAGAGGCAAAGTCGTTTTTCAGTTTCCGTGGCCCGGGGGCGCGGGGTACGCAGCTACGTTTGGCTCGTTCATTTGGACTGCTAAAGTACTTCTTAGTCCGTTAACGTAAATATTGCTATTTATCAACTGCCAATCAGAAAATTGCTCGTATCATCCATTTTGCCTTATATATATATATATTTTTTGGTGATTGTTACTGATACCTACAACATACAAGTCATTTTGCTTCGCTTTACTTGAATATAGTAACACGGACTCCGCTATTGTATGCTGAATCTATTATCTCAAACCTCTTGTTAACTTCAGCAATGTGTGAGGTCCTAGCTTGACTTAAATTGACACCCGTATCTTGAATCCTGTTTGAATCTATGATTACCACTGGCAACAGGAAACAGTGAATTGAAACCTAGTTATTTTGAACATTGTAACCACGCAAAGTGATAGCTAATAACGTCCAGGTAATTGGTAACATTACTTTCCTTGATGCCTTAAGAAGCCTTCAGTCTGGTCGATATTATTTTCCGGCTGCCCATCTAGAAATTTACCAATTTTCAACAAACCTATTTTTAGTTCGTATAGTGTGATCTTCCGGGTGAGTGTAGTTCTGAAAAGAACTGTTGTTAGTGACTGACGTTTCGACAACCTGAGCGGGAGTCATCTGTTTGTGACACACCGGACAGCTTACGTGACGAAAACAGATACCTTGAACGTGTTTTCCACAAAAACAACT